GAAGTGACTATGTGGGAATCGGGACAATGGTTCGACACAGCCTACGCGGCATGTACCTTGGGCGGGGCACGTTGCAAACATCAAGTGTTACGACACAATGTGGAGGAGATCCAACGCTGGCCCCCAGCCAATTGCCACCATGTGCATGACCCACAAGAATGGACCCCCTACACCTCTGACGGCCAGAGGTTCTACCCATCCAAAGAAGAGGCGGAGTACACAGCAGTCCTTGCCTTTGCCATCGCAGTGTCGGCTAGCTGGTGGGCAGTCCGCACAGGTTTAGCCGTCCTGAATGTCCCACGCATGCCCACGTTCATGTCAGTAGGACGCCGTGAGCACTGGCTGGATATGGATCCGCGCGCAATGCGGGAATGGGCAATGGCACCATTGGCAGTGACGCTGGGCCTCACAGAGTCCCTGCGAGCTGAACGACCGGGGTTACCGGTCAGAAGGCTCGTCAAGGAGGTGATGATCGAGAACAACAAGTTGCCACGCAAGACCATTTATGTCGGCCGAGGCAGCTTTCATCATCGCCTGTCGACAACCAAGTGGAAATCGCCACGGACACCAGGCCACAACTGCGAAGCCGGTGAATGGCCAGCCAGGTACATTGTCCACATCCGAACATCACCTTTGTGGGACGCCTTGCATGAGCTCAGCAACATGGAGCTGGCGTGCGACTGCCCCATGGAGCACCTGTGCGAAGCGGACATGCTCATTGGTCTCTTCTTCGATGCAACCGCACCTGGGGGCGACCCGATGCAGAGGGGCACCGATGGCCGATGGAGCAGGACTGTGGCCTTGCTGCAGGGGATCCAGGCTATTCCCAGAGGGGTAGCCCTACTCATGATGAGCCAAGAAGCACTGGTGTTAGCATTTCAAAAGCTTTTCCCCGAGCACTGGTTCAAGAACTACAAGTTTGCAATGATTGAAGACCTCATCAATAGCCCGCCCTTCTGCTCATATGCCACTTGGCTAGCAGAGCGAGGAGAAGCTTGGGATGGGCCCCTAGTCCCGCATCTTGCTGCTGGGTCAGTGAGACAGCTTGCGCGGATTGGGGATGGGTGCCAAGTGGGTGCGATGACACACCGTGCAGCTTTGCCCCCACTGCTGCCGTTCAACTTGGACCCTGATGACCACTTCAACCAAGCAGTCCAACGAGCCCAGCAACCATTGCCCTACGAAGATCTCCCAGTCGTTGACTTGGACCTGGAGTTCGTAGCAGATGCCTACGCAGCACATGGCCAACAATTGCGCCCGTGGCGACAGCATGCAGTAGGGGCAATGCGCGAGCTGAAGAGACGCTGGGAGGGGGTGGCCCTCCACTTGCGATCTTTTCAAGAGCCGGCCATCCAGCAGGTGACACGGCACCGCGATGTGGGGTTCATTGCATTGCTGATGCTGCTGACATCATGGGCCGACACCAGCTTTCCCTATATGGTTTGATCCGTGGGCTACCAGCAGTGGGATACGCACCACCCTATGGGATTTTCCCCCAGCAACCAGCTGAGGTGATCAGCATGGCAGACGTGCTGGATGGATGGCAGGAACATAATCAGCACATCTTGAGCCAGCTGAGAGCAGGCAAGGATGATGAGTTCCTCCTGCAGCAGTCTTTGGAGGACGCAGCAAATGGCTTCTGCACAGCGCCCTTGCGACGGACAGATTTCCTGCGGTCCATTGGCAACAAGGCACATCGATTGATCCCGCGTTGCGTGATCACGCAAAGCTCCGGCAAGCAGCGTGTGATCGACAATGGTGACACTGGAGGACAATCAGCCTTGTCGTCTGATGCTAACAAGCTCACATTGTGCAGTCCATTGCGTCCTGCCCAACACATTCGCCTAGCAATGCATCGTTGGACAGATGACGAGATAGCAGACTTCTTCGCGCACGATGCCTGGGAGACAGGACAAGAAGATCTGCCTTCAGCATACAGGTATTGCCCTATGGCATTGCAGGAAAGCCTGGGCTGCGTGGTGGTGTGGTACCATCACGAGTGGCAAACCCCTGCATACCAAGTATATGCTGGGCTGCTCTTCGGGCTGCCGCTAGCAGTTACCTCCTTTAACAGATTTTCCAGGCTATTGGAGGCGCTAGCTAGGCGCTTTTGCCGAGTTCTGACATCCCTGTACTTTGATGATGCGACCATTACAGACTTGCGATCCTCAAAAGGGTCTGGCCAATGGGCCATGAATCAGTTGTGTTCTCTTATCGGCTCCCCCTTCGCCGAGGACAAGAAGCAATCAATGCAGAGCACAGGAACCTTTTTGGGGCTGACTCATGATCTTAGCTCCATCAACCAAACAGGACATGTACATTTTTGGGCTCGAGAACGGCTCCATGACAAAGTACGTGACATGTTGGCAACAGCCAGGGTGACTGGCCATTTTAGCCGAGGGGCAGCATCGAAGCTGTACGGCTTAGCCAATTTCCTGGAACAGGGCATCTACGGTCGAGTGGGATACGGCGGCCTCATGGCAATCAAAGCCAGGCAAGACGAACCAACCTCGACCATCACTCCGGAGATTGAAGCATGCTTCGAGGTGATCGAAGCAGTCATGCGCTTTCAGCCAAAGCGGGAATTTCCCGTTCTGCACCTGGATCATCTACGCTTTCTTGCAGCATCCGACGCAGCTGTCGAAGCAGACAATCCTGGTTCAGGAGGTTTTCACCTGATCTTTTTCCAGCCTGACGGATCACAGATTCGTCACAGTTTTGTTGCGACCAACTGTGCAGAGCTTCAAACACTTTGGCAACCTGCAGAGACGCACATCGCCCAATTGGAACTATCTATGGTGCTCTACGCCCTTGTCGAAAGGCCTGATCTGTTTCCAAACCGACACGGCCTCTGGTTTTTGGACAACGTGGCAGCCGTCATGACGCTAGTGAGAGGACGTTCTAGCAATGCCGACTTAGCGAAGCTAGGTCATTTGATCCATCTAGCTCTGTTTGCACTGCGAGCCCAAGGATATTGGGAGTACGTCCAGAGCAAGAGCAACTGGGCTGACGACATCAGCCGACTTGGCGTCAACGATCCATGGTGGCGATGCCATGGTTTTGACTTTCATTCGTCGTACCTCCCTACAATCTTTTTCCAGCTACCTTTTGCGGCTGTCATTCTCACCTTCGAATACCTTTAGTGCTTTGGGAGTTGAGTGCATTGGGTGATTCCTGCAGAGCAGGTTCCAGCCTGGGTTGCCAGGCAGCTGACCAGTGGCGAAACTGGTCTGGGGCTATGTACGTGTCACATCGTGACAACCCAAAGCAAACCTGAGGATTGCAGGTGAAATTGACTGAGCATAGGCATAGCTGTGGAAAAAGAAAGCTGCGGGAGCGCGAGACAGTACCTGTTTCATATGACACTTTGAGATGTACCCATGCATTGAGTTTGGCAGGCTTGGGTGTGCATGTATCATCTTTAAGTGTTTCAATGAATGCTATCATTTTGGCTCAAGTAAACTTGAACCAAAATAGCATTCATTGCTGTTTTCTTTCCCCACCCTCCCAACCCTAAGAGCCGACCTCCCGTGGAGATGTCCGCCTAGGTTAGGGGAGCCTGCACGGCAGGCGAGTCCATAGCCTCTATCGGGGATCCTCTCTTGGGGCGACCAAGAGAGCCTTTCCCTCCCTTAGGTTTAAGGGATGGGTGATTCCTGCAGAGCAGGTTCCAGCCTGGGTTGCCAGGCAGCTGACCAGTGGCGAAACTGGTCTGGGGCTATGTACGTGTCACATCGTGACAACCCAAAGCAAACCTGAGGATTGCAGGTGAAATTGACTGAGCATAGGCATAGCTGTGGAAAAAGAAAGCTGCGGGAGCGCGAGACAGTACCTGTTTCATATGACACTTTGAGATATATATATATATATATAAACCCATTTTGGGAATTCCCATTCACCAGACAGCTTTGACAGAGACTGCTCATTGACTCACGGCTGCGTTACCGGACCCTGGAGCCCCCAGAAATTTGGACAGATGACATCAACTGATGTTTTGAGGTGGTGTTCGAAATCAAGATTTGGAGTCAAGAAGCCAACACTGATTTTCTGAATAATGTCAACCCTGGATTAATAAACCCCTAGATTGTTAAATTGGGGGGGTACCATTTAAGTATTGGATTGTGACTATTGGAGGAGTACCCCCCCAATTAATAAACCATGGTTTATTAATCCGGGTTTGACATTAATGATTAAACCAACAGGGAGTTCCAGTCCAAAGAAGAAAGTCCTCAGAGAGAGCTCGATTCCTATTGTTTCCTTTCAATTCCCGGACGTCATCAAAATCTCAGCCTGTCCCAAGATACCCTCGCAACAGCAGAGGTCTAACAAGCCCCGTTCAATGGGGTTTATGGCCATTAGTAACCCTAAAACATCAACACATGAGTCTTATTTGTCCACGAAAACACATTCTTACTCATTGATAGAATTAAGACATCCGCTTCCCAGGCCAAACGCTCAAGTAACATGGCAATGGAACATGCCCTGTTTATAGGTGATTTTCCCAGCTAGAAACCTCCATTTATATGGGATTTTCCATTGCCATGTTTGATGACACAGGAAGGTATCCCCATAGTATTATCATATCATATTGCGTTGTTTTACTGTCTATTTAATATAATCATCAGAAAAATACGCGTTGATTAAACCCATGAAATATTATATATCATCAGAAAAATCAGGGTTGGTTATCCATATATTATATATATATACCCATACATTTACATATAATACACACACATATATATATATAGGTATATATATATATTTACATATATATAGATATTTACATATATATATCTAGATATTTACATATATATATATATAAATATTTACATATATATATATATAGATATTTACATATATATATATATATTTACATATATATAGATATTTACATATATATATATACATAGATATTTATATATATATATATATATATCGAGTTTTCTAATCCCATGAAATTGCCCACGACATGGACCCGTCGCTCGGATTTTCGTGAGGCTTGCGGCAACAAGCGCCGCTGGCCCCATGCGCAGCAGCTCTTCACGGCCCTTCGCAAGCGGCGACTGCAGCCCACTGATGTCACGGTGAGCGCCACGGTGGTGGAGCCTTGGAAGGGGTTTTCGGGGGAGAACTTGGGGATGTTAAGGAGAAGGTACAAGATGGTGCCCCCCAAGTTATAAGTTGGTTTATAATCCCATTAACTATAGATATATCTACCATAAGTCCTAGTTATTGGAGTTATAAACCAACTTAGCTATCTTGGGGGCACCACCTTGTAACAGCCATGGTGGATTGTACCAAGCCGAAACTGGGGGATGTTCAGCCATTGTTTGATGGTTATTATAATTTGTTATATAAGTTATATACCACATTTTTCCATTAACATGCATATGAAATGGGGGGGAAACATTTAACATCCATGTGTGACGGATTTCATTCATGAAACATCAAAAAACAATCAAAAATCCATCGAACATGCCATGAAATCTCTATTTGTTGCTTAAGTTGTTCCTTTCTGTTAAGATATCCACCAGGGGCATTCGACGAACAAACTCTGGCGAAAAGCAGCGCCTGGAGGCCTTTGACTCGCCCACGGCCCATCGTTGGTCGCTGTGCCTTTGCCTCGTGGACGCGAACGCCGCGCTCGGCGCGAAGCTGGTGACGGGCAACGCGCTGCTGCAGCTGCTGAGCAGCGCAGCAGGGAGCTGGAAGGACCCAGAAAGTCAATAAAGATGGCTATATCATGAATGGGGATATATATATATATATTGTATATATATATATAATATGGCGATAAATGGGGTAGTATACAACTGCAATATGGGGAGTGAACCAAAAAAATATAGAATATAATGGGGTATAATTGGGATATCTAATCAACATTTTCTGGGGTTGCTATACATGGAAAATGCCAGCAACATTGATTGGAAGATTGTGTTTGCCAAGAACTTGCGAGGTGGGATATATGATAGTCCTCAAATATGGCTAGCCATGACATTCACCCATTTAGGTCGATGTTTTTCCCAGCTATAAAGCTCCATTTACTTGGGATTTTGCAGTAAACCATGTTTGATTTCTAGACGTCAGTTAGCAAAAATGCTGGGATTTAGCGCTTGCAGGAAAAGTCTGCGAGCTCTTTGAAGCAGAGAAGTTTTCGATGAACCAATGCGTATGGAGGAATTAAGCACCAAAAATGGGGATGTAGAAAGCAAACTCGCTAGTGATATACGGTCAGATACTGGTGATATGATTGGTGATCGTATCAACCTGAGGTCAATATTCAATGGGGACACAATCAGGTATAATGGTGATAAAATGGTGATTTGCTGGTGATATGATTAATGGGGATATGATGTCGATATTTTATGGGCTGCAATGGTATACAAGTCTCTATCATGTGATACAACTTTGATATCAATATACGATGATATACCGTGAACAGAAAAGTTTGAAAGCAAGTGAGCGCCTCAGAGAAATGTTTCAATTTTTACATTCATGATTTCTTCACAATTTATATCAGTTTACTATGTTCCGGCATTTCAAATCCGTTCCAGCTATATGACTGTGTTTGTCAGCAACTTTCTTTCAGTGGGTCCCTTGTGCGGTATCCAGTACAATTCCCTGCAGGAGGTGATACAACTCTTCTGTGGGATGAGATCTGCTGAACAGGCTGATGAAGTTCCTAAACATATCCAGCGACGGCGAATGTTGCAGACATGTCAAACACTCATTGCATATAGGTTTCGATATTAAATCATGACATGGTAAGATACGCCCAGACACCTCGTTTCGCCCAACATCACTTTTAGATTTAAGGAATGCCAGAAAGACATAGTGTTTTGAGAGTGCCTCGGACAAAACGAGGCGTTTGGCCATAAACATACTGTTTGGATCTTTCATGCAGGTTGCTCATTTTCTTCCCTATGAAGTAGAGATGCATCCAGATTGTATGCAAATACTGTGGGTGTCTATTTAATTCTATATATTTATGATTAAATACGTACTGATCTTAATGACTTAATTACTTTGATCAACTGGCTGCATTTTACGTACCGATCTGTCGTTCTTCATGCAGAAATTCTCAGCTCCTTAGCTTCCAAGGTCACTTTTGCTTCGGCCTTGGTCGGTTGCATCCTGGGCAATCAAGTGGCCGTGGCCAGAGACCCTCGGCAAATTCCCAGAAACACAGACGTTGAAAGCATTGACCGATGATTTCAAAGGCTTTGTCACCCCGCCAATAATAATTTTCAATTGGAGTGTGAATTCAACCAAAATAGTTTTGTATCCAACAGTGACGAACGTTTTTATTAGGTCATGGGCACCATGGAATTGAAATCACCCTATCAAACAACCTGCAGAATCTGGTTTCCGCATTGAGATGCAGTACGGTGCATACTGCAAAACAAAACTCATTTGGAGAGAACTATGAAAGTTCATGGGCCGCTTATGTATATAATATGTACTCACACATGTGTATATAATTGTATATATATATACACATGGAAAACATAGATGTTTCTACTTATATATGTATATGTATAAATAAAATCACGCACACATGTATTCTTTAATTATATTTATGAATTAGCATACTCGTGTGTATAACAAAACTCGGGCATCGTACCGTCGTACCCCACCATATTCCACCCTTTCGGAACCAGAGTCATCACACCCAGGACATCTTGCAGACCTTGAGGACCGTCACCTTCGCCAAGCTGGTTCCTCCATAGCCGGTTGACGGATCAGCGGGCAATGCATGGGGAGTTTAGCAAGAAAGAGGATAGATGCAGCAAACCATGATTAAAAAAATATGCAAATCTACTTATAAACCATTTTATCACAGATAAAAAACCATGTATCACTGATCAATAGTTTACAAACCATGATGCAAAACAGGCTGTTTACCGTACCAACATGTTACAAATCATATAGCACAAATCAACCATACTTCTTTCAACCAATTGATAGAATGTTCCAGTCTCGCGCTTCCAGGCCAAGCAGGGTCCTGAAATCTTTTGAGGGCCGGCCGTTTGAAGCTATGCATTTGCCCATGGCACTTGTGGCAAGTGGTGGTGCTGTTTTTTCGTGGTTTCACATTTTTTGGGGGGATACATGCAATTGCTGTTCGTTCGGCCGGCTCTCATTCTGGGCTTTTGATGCTTTGCGGCCCCTTTTTTGGGCGCAGAGCTGCGTGGTGCAACTTAGATCACAAGGGTCTGTTTGAAAATAGGATACCCCAAAATTTGATGGTTTATTATCATGTTTCCATGGAAATGACTATAATATCTTGGGATTATTGGGATTTATTGGGTATATCAAAGGTATTTCCTTATTTAAGACAGACCCAAAAGTTGTTTTTTTTCAATCTTTCTGCAACCTTCCGCGTGACTAATGGGCAGCCCTGGGCTGCCCTGGCACGCGCAAATTTGGCGTTGGCGTTCAGCTGGGATCGCTTTGAAGTCATTATTTGTAGCTGTATTCTTATGCTTAACAACATGGCTTTGATATGCTTTGATTGGAGTGTTAATGATATCTGAGTAACAACTGGTGGATGATTCTTCCCAAACAACGAATCCCAGCAAATTCTTATGGGCGAAGAATGAAAACAGCTGAGAGCCATTGGTCAAAAGAACACACCCGCCGGGGAGTCTTCTGATAGCAACATGAATCATGTCCCTTTACTGTATTTTCGGACAGATCTACAGCATCTGCAGCAAGGGTGCCTTTGGATATCGCACAATTGGACGATGTGACACTATAGGCAGAGGAAACTGCAACCAATTTGGTGGCAAAAGGTTTCCTGTATAGATGTTACCACCTATCCATTGAAGCCTCTTTGGAGTTAGTTTCTACATCCCACAAAGAAATATCTCATTACTTGGCTTGATTCAAAACATATTAATTCATATATGGTGCCTCACCAGCTGCGGGGTGCGCAGCGCGAGCGCGCGAGCATTTAACACGTGCGCGCGCGAGGTGCGCGAGCAACGACAGGCGCGCGCGCGAGACGCGCGAGCAAATAGAGGCGCGCGCGCGCGAGGTGCGCAAGCAAGGCCAAGATGCGCGCGCGTGTTCGCGCGCGCGCCCGTCCGACACGCGCGCGCGCAAATAAGCTCTCCGCGCGCGCAAATAAGCTTTCCAAATCGCAAATAAGCTCACCAAACCCACTTTGGAGAGCTTATTTGCGCGCGCGCGTGTCCGAAGTGAGCGCGCGCGCAGTGCTCGCGTGCCTTGCTCGCGCACCTCGCGCGCGCACCTGACTTTGCTCGCGCGTCTCGCGCGCGCGCCTGTCTGTGCTTGCGCACCTCGCGCGCGCATGTGTTAAATGCTCGCGCGCCTGCGCGCGCACGATTTCAACAGGAAATGTTTCATATGTTTTAAAAAATGACAACTCATTACTGTATATCGGAATCTATATTATATGAGTTATATGTCCATCCATTGTAGCCCCATATAATCTACATCCCCCCATCGACATTGGCGCCAGGCCGCTTGAATCCTGAGCAGTTGGACAAGGTGCGGAAAGCCGTACTCTTTGGCAGCAATGCCAATTTGAAGGACGGGCTCCAGGTGGATGTGGCCGTGATTGGCCGTGGCCGGATGTGGACCTAATGTTAAACGTTCGTGCATAGCAATAAGCATATCATAAACCTGATTTTGCTGGGATATCAATGTATCCCCAACTTCATCCCAGTTACACGTGGAGTTTGTGAGTGTGTGCATAATAAATATTATATATATATACGGGGTAGAAATCACTCATCAAATGGGATGCGCACCCACTTGATCAGTATACGCAGTTAATCTATAGATATGTTAAGTTATGTTCATTTTGATCAACATAGCGCCCAGATGTGGCCGAAATGTCGACCACCCCGCAGGACCTGGATCGATCTGCCTTCATCATGCCAGTGCCTCAATGCTGGGTGAATTGATGGATGACGTTGGAATCCTGGAATCTACCCAAATCGTGGCTTGCACAAGACATGGAACTTTTGGTGGGTCTCCCGGTGGGGAAATCACCCATCCAGAAATTGTTTAGAACATATATGTGGTTTCCGATGATGGTTTCTAAAGAAATAGTTTAGTCCCAAAAATATCCAAAAAGGATGTTTTTCGGAGTTTGTCAATTAGATTGGTTTGAGAGAGTGCCCGTAGACCGGTCAGAAGTTATATTAGACTTAGACTTAGATACGTGCAGGAAGATGCAGGATCCTCTTGTCCATTGTTTTTGTTTTAGTTTGTTTTTTTCCAATCAACACATGTACAAATGTGATACATAATATATATATATATAACTATATATAGAATATATACCTGTATCTATATAGCTGTTTTTCGCTTGCCAATGGTTCGCCAGTGGGTTGGGCTGGAATCCCAGCCTGCTGATTATTTCATTGCTGTTGGTTCTACCCTCAGCTTTGTTTGGTGCTTTTTTGATGATGAGTTGAAGTTGTATCCCCCATTTTTTGTTGGTTAAAATCCTGCGCTTTGGTCAACATGCTGATCCAGATGGCTTGTTAAAGTACTGAATTTTTGAGTGAGCTAAGATGAATAAAACGTAACAAGTCCATCTCTCTATCTCCAAGGGGAAGCTAGCGGACGCCCTAGGCCTCCGACAACCGGAGGATCAAGCTATGACGACCTGCCACGTCACTGGAATGATTACCAAAAAAATGCCCCATTTATGTTCCAGTGATTCCAATCATTTTCCATTACCGTTTGGTTATATGTCCAATATATATATATATACATATGGTAAAATGAAGAAACAAAGAAAAACTAGCAAATCTCCAAATTCTCAAACACACCCAAACATCATCATATTAAGTTGCTTGCCCCAATTATATGTATACCCATTGGTATCACATAATAATGATTCACGCCCTATAATATAGTTGTAACACCCATGATATCTCCATTCTATCCGATTCTATTCCCATTACATACCATAAAACCACATGTTTGTTGTTATAACTTATAGCATCTTATAGCGTATCCAGGTTCAAACGTTCTCTGTCGCAGGAATCGGCCTAGCTCCCCAAGGGGACGACGGGAAGCCTCTCCCAAGGGACGACGGGAACTCTCTCCCAAGGAGCTGAATTGAGCAGCATCAAAAACATCCATAAAGGGATTTAGTATTCGGGTTCATGTAGGGAACCTTCCGCGAAAGCAAAACCTCCACGCGCGAAAGCCGTGCGAAAGCTCCGCGAAAGGAGTGCGCCAAGGTCACGCCGCGAAAGCGGCCGCGAAAGCAGATGACTAGTGTAACATCATTTACGACGAATATTTTCCGCGAAAGCCGCCGCGAAAGATATTGCGAAAAAAATCCCGCCGCGAAAGCCAAAACTGTGCGCGCGAAAGCACCGCGAAAGCCGTCGCGAAAGCTTTTCTATAGTAGAACCAGATCGCTACCCGGCTTACGACGCCGCTCAATTCTGGATTTCCTATGGATTTCCGATGGATTTTAATGATTGTCCATTGATGTTTGCTGGAATGCCCATGTACTCTGAAACTAAAGTACATCTTTTTAAGTTTTTTTTAAACATATTTCACTGCAGTTCATCCATGTACTGTAAACTGGCTTTCACATAGCCAAGTTGGCTGAACTTGTACCATGGCTTGCTGAGAATGGGATGGGGCATCCGACTTGCCTGTTCCCCTGCGACTGGACCATATCAGGTTACCATCATACCTTATTATAGGTTTTGATATTTTACATTTACATATTTCACGCGGGAAGATGCAAATATGTCACACCTGAAGCTTCGTTTTTGACCATGCTTGTTGCTGATAGAATCTATCCCAAATCCAATGGCGCAACGTGCAGCTCCCAGGAGAGGACTCCGGTCAATCGCTTGGGGCCGGAAGACTATGGCTATTTGCCGAGTCTTGACTTATGTCCTACGCAATCGTTGGACACTGTGGGGCTTTGGCCGTCGAGTTCAGGAGCGAAATTGTCATTTGCTGCGCTCGGATCTCTTTTTTTTTGGCTGAGGAACCAGGACTCCACGAGCAGTCTGGTGAGCAACAGCAAGGACAAAGCGAGATTCGTGTGCCTCGGAGTAAAATCCAAGTGGTTTAGCGCTCAAAATAGTTTTCGTATCGCTGAGGTGGTTTACTACTAGACCACTCTCTGCGGTTCATGGTGTCTCCAAATGGGTTATGTAGTTGTCTGAAAAGAGTTTTCAGTTTTCATCCTAGACATGGGCGGATGATGTGACTGAGACTCCACTGCTGATCTCCCAAGATGGCCATGGAGAGAGATTATCACACGAATAACTACCATACTGCGGATCGTTGGGAAATCCTGCACCAGTTGATAGATGGCAAACATCCCATTATTTATAGGGTTTCAACCATCCAAGGTGGCGGTGGCGGCGCAGGATTTGACATCGTAGGTTACCAATTCAATCCCTGGTGTCCAATCTCCTTTGCTATGCCAAACTGGGAGGCTACGGGAGGTCGAGGTACACTTTAGTTATCAGTGGAGTACGATGACTGCACAATGATGAATTTCATGTATATATACACCATATATATATATATACACTATATATATATGTGTGTGTGTGTGCGTGGTCGATTCGAAAGATTGTTTATTTTCCCATAAAAGGGGAGCGTCATCCCCCTCTGTATGGGTTGATATACCGAGTGTTGTTTTGTAGTGTCGGAGTGACTACTGTGGGAGCCTTTCTTGGCCGTGAGCAACTAGATTCATATCAATTTGAATGCATGATTTGTTTTTCCCCGTGTAAATGACTATCAGAGAGATCCCTTGCTACCTCAATAAGAAAGTGAAATTCATTCCCATAAAAAAGGCAGTCTTGGGCTCAGTTGAATGTCTCTACGGCAGGGTAAAAACAGCGATAAATGATCGGACGCTACCCTTTTTGCTATTGCGTGAGGCGAACGATGTGATGGAAGACAATGCGCCCCTTTTACCTAAAATGATGACCCCAATAGACATACTGACATACTGTTTTTCTGTGGCTTATTGGATGTAAAACATTAATCAGGAGTCTTGATTTTTTATGGCTAATGTTCCAATTGGGCTTGTCTGAAAATGGGGACCCTCAAACCCCGTGGTTTATCATCAGTTTTCCCCTTACATGGGTTTTGTTTGGGTATCCCAATTCAGACAGACCCATGTGTTGGTTAATGTTCATAGATGCCAGCCTGGAACAGATCAGCAGCAGTTAGAGCACCTCATTGTAACCGTTAAGGTTGGAACCTTAGCAACTGTAAGTGTCCCCAACACAGGCGTGGTTTAAACGCTGCGCCTCTCTCTCTCTCTCTCTTTGTGCATATACACACATACAGAATTATATGAATATATCAAATAAATAGATCAATAAATGAATCTTATATAAATAGATTTAAAAAAAACACGCGCACACACACATATATATAATATAATATATATATATATATACAATATAATATAATATATGTATATATATATATGTGTGTGTGTGGGTGTGTCTCAAAACTGGGACTGGGATATGTACCCCCAAAATTGCATTTCAATCGGAAGGAATATTTTTAAACATAGTATTTTGCGGCACCCCCCTTTTCCCAAATATGAATAGACAGGATCAGAAATCCTTCAAGGAATCCATTTTGCTCGTTTTTGGCAAATTGTAAGAGACATTCCCTTGACAATAATCGGTCATTTCCGAACTCTCCAGATTCCATGCAAGAATTCTGGTGGGGAATGACTTGAGCGTGCCTCTTGTTTTTTGACACGCGTGGCCTCCGGACGTGGCTCCCTAATGGGTAAATATCCACTATAAATGGCCATTTCATCCATTTTCAATAGCTATGTTAGTTTACCAGAGGGTATCTTTAAATCACTGGGAATTACCAGGGGAAACCCTGTAGATCAAGCATCTTCAACCAACCCACTGCCATTTTTCTCAAAGGGCGATCTGAACTCGGCGCCATGCCGGGCACGGAACTGCAACGTGTGGTGGACGAGGATGACGACGTCGGCGCTGCACGTGGATCTGGCGCGCGTGGCAGTCGAACGAGTGGCGCTTGGGATTGGAACAAGATCTGCGCGTATCACACCAATCGTGTGGTGCGCATCCAGGATGCCAATCTAGGACTGGTGACATCCGCTGATGGGGAGGGGATCGTGAAAATCCCAATGGGATATGCCAGGGATGCCATAAATTGAGCCCAAGGTCCAAATCGGTGGCATGTGCTTAATGAGCATGTTGTTCATGAGAATTGGGGGGAACATTTGCAGGAAAATGAGATGCTTTCTTTAGGATAAAATCCTTTATGATTTCCGACTAAAGTTTTCCTTCAACCAAGCCATCCGCTAGTCACAAGGTTTGCCCCGATGGCCAAAACGGCAGAAAATCACATGAACCCCTAAGGGCCAACTAGGTAAACCCATGGTACTCGTAGTTCGGTTGAAGAATAGGGAAATACATATCGCACTAATATATTACTAATATTTTGTCCCCTTGGGGGTATGGGTTGTCGGCCGTGCAACTGAGACATATGGTCAGCCACCCATAGCAAGCTCACCAAAATGTCGCCGCCACAATGATCCAAGAAATCCATAGGATACCTCTACTGGGGCATTGTGACACTGGTGGTGCTCTATATCCAGATCGTGGTCTTCCATATCGAAGGTCGACATACGCTCCAAGAACCGGGTTTGGGTGCGGTGATCACCAAGTTCAAAGGTGGATCGGCCATTGAGAACCGGGGGGGACATTGGTCATCATGTGTCTGTGTCAAATTGCTGTCGTTTTGTATGGCTGGCATTGTAGTTTTAGTGATGTTCCATCCCAATTTGAAATCGTTGCCGCTAGATCATCAATTTAAGGTGTGCGGTGATGAGGTTGCACCACTTGGTTGCATCTTCGCCCCATTATGCCCCATAGACCCCACACTTGGTGAAGCACAAATAATCCGGGAAGGGGCGGGCAACAAGAAAACACAAAATACAGATCTGCCAACGAGTCCAGAGGTCAGAGTAGTTGTGGACACATGTGTTTTTGTTGTTTTTGTTTTTTGGTTTGGATTATATATATATATAGTTAATCATGATTAATTTGGATTTATCTTAGTGGAAGTGAGACAGACGAGGTGTCAGACACATGCTTTTGTGAAGAGAAGTGCTACAGGATAGCCTACATTCAGAGCGAACTGTTGTGAGCGTTGATAGCCTACATTCAGAACTAACTGCTGTGAGTCGTCAGTGTGAGTTTCTTCATTTGTTGTCTACCCCAAAAGCTTAAATTTCACCGCTCGCAACAGGCCTTTCCGTTAATTTACTCATATATATACATATATTAATATTATAGATGCCTGCATCATGTGTATACACATGTGCATCATTGTGCATCATCGTGCATCTAATTGCATCTATCTATCAATCTATCTATCTATCTACCTATTTATCTACCTACCTACATCTACCTACCTAATCTATCTATCTATCTATCTATCTATCAATCTATCTATCTATCTAATCTGATCTGATCTATTCTATTCTATTCTATTCTATCCTATTCTATCCTATCCTATCCTATCTTTTCTATTTTATCTATCTTATCTATCGTATCTATCTCATATATCTTATATATCGTATCTATCTTATCTATCTTATCTATCTTATATAGTGTATCTATCTTATCTATCTTATCTATATTATCTTTCTCATATATCTTGTATATCTTATCTATATTATCTATCTTATATGTCTTATATATCTTATCGATCGTATCTATCTTATATATCTTATCTATCTTATCTATCGTATATGTTTCTATCTTATCTATCTTATCTATCTTATCTAGCTTATCTATCTTATCTATTTTATCTAGCTTATCTATCTATCGACCTATCTATCTTACTTAGTTATCTAATCTAAGCAATTGTGTCTTATCTAATCTATCTATCTTTCTATTTATCTATCTATCTATTAACCTAATCTAATCTATTCTATTCTATTCTAATCTAATCTAATCTAAACTAGGCTAATCTAATCTAATCTAAATCTAATCTAATCTATTCTAATCTATCTAATCTATCTAGTCTATCTAGTCTATCGAGTCTATCTAATCTATCTATTCTATCTAATCTATCTAATCTATCTAATCAATCTAATCAATCTAATCTATCTAATCTATCTATCTAATCTATCTAATCTATCTAATCTATCTAATCTATCTAATCTATCTAATCTATCTAATCTATCCGATCCATCTAGTCTATCTAATCTTTCTAATCTGTCTAATCTATCTAATCTATCTTTCTATTTATCTATCTATCTATCTACCTATCCATCTATCTATCTATCTATCTATCTATCCACTCTATCTAATCTATTTATCTTTCCCATCTATCGTATCTATTTATTCTATCTTATCTATCTTATCTACTTATCTATCTCATCTATCTCATCTATCTAATCTATCTTATCTATCTTATCTATCTTATCTATCTTATCTATCTTATCTACCGTATACGTTTCTATCTTTTCTACGTTTTTTCTATCTTATCGATCTTATCTTTCTTACCTATCTTATCTATATTATCTATATGGTCTTTCTTTCTATTATCTGTCTTATCTATCTTATCTGTCTTATCTGTCTTTTCTATCTTATCTATCTTATCAATCTTATCTATATTTTCTGTCTTATCGATCTTATCTATCTTATCGATCTTATCTATCTTATCTATCTTATCTCTCTTGTTCGATCTTATCGATCTTATCTATCTTATCTATCTTATGGATCTAATCTATCTATCTATCTATCTATCTATCTATCTGGCTATCTATCGATCCATCTATCTATGTATCTATCTATCTATTTGTCTGTCTGTCTGTCTGTCTATCTGTCTATCTGTGTATCTGTCTGTCTGTCTATCTGTCTATCTGTCTATCTGTCTGTCTGTCTGTCTATCGATCTAGTACCCACAATGTTACGTACATATGTCCGTCCGTCCATCCATCCATCCATCCATCCATCGATCCACCCATGCACATCCATTCAAGTAATGCATCATACATATACATATACATATATGTATTGGTGTATATTTACAATTTCTGTGTATATTTATTTATATATATACGTGTGTGTGTATGAAACATAGGAACAGATGTAATACTTCTTCTTCAGTGATTTTCTCACTTGCAGGGGGCCAGGAACCCATGACTGTTTGTCCTGGCCAACGAAGACCAGACAGCGTGGGGGTGCAGACGTATCTGCAATTTTCCAATTTTCGACTGACATGACACGGGGCTAAGCCAAGAACCCCAAGCAGAAAAGGGATTCAGTTCCCATCGGATCACTTAAATGATCCTGTTCTTGTCTAGAGTATGCGTGTATGTGTTTATTGTTGTTTATTTAACTATAATATATACAATGTGGGCCCCGAAGATAGCTAAGCTGGTTTATAATTCCATTAACTATGGTTTATTACAGGTATAACTATAGTTAACGGTTTTCATAAACCAACTTATAACTGGGGGGCCCCACATTGTATATATATATATACATGTTTATTGTACATTACTTTCTTACGGGCATGACTGGCAGATCAGTTTTCGCTTGACCCCTACTTTGCCCGAGAATTGGCTACCGAGGTAAAGGCTTCACTGCAGATGGTAAGGCCTTTGACGCCCCGGACTTGAGATATCCCATCATTGAGCCAGCAGGCAGGACCTCACAGAAACGAGGACGATGACTGACTGTGGAAGTCTGGTTTTATGTATGGTTTAGTAAAGTTTCGTAGGGACAATCATAATGGGATAATGACGGGATAATCAAAGGATAATGGATTTACAATGGTGTCATTGAACGTGGTTTGCTAGAAAGTCCGCCATTTAATTCGGTGATTTTTCCCAGCTAGAAACCTTCATTTAATTCGAGGATGCCCAACTGCTATGTGATTGATTACCACGGATGTTTTTTTTTGCAGAAAATATTTACATACTGTATGTACCTGGTTGAGTGTTGTTGGACCTATTCTAACCCATTCATCTCGGGGTCCCATAGATTATGATTAATTACGATTAATTACGATGTGTATATGTATATATTCCCCACCTGCCAGGTGAGGGTTGTTAGATTTTATCAGAGTTGTTCTTCTCCTCCTCGGCTAGCTGTCCTCCTCCTTCTCCTCCTCCTTCTCCTCCTCCTCCTCCGCCTCCTCCTCTAGTTTCTCCTCGACCATGTCTGCATCAACTTCCACCTCCACTTCCGCCTTGCCAACTCTTCGCCAAGCTCTTCGCCAACGTCCGAGCTCCGTGTGCACCGCTGGACCTCAACCTGGGACCTTCCCAGCTCAGTGTGCACCGCTGGACCTCAACCTGGGACCTGCCCAGCTCAGTGTGCACCGCTGGACCTCAACCTGGGACCTTCCCCCTCAACCTGGGATCTTCCCAGCTCAGCGTGCACCGCTGGACCTCAACCTGGGACCTTCCCAGCTCAGTGTGCACCGCTGGACCTCAACCTGGGACCTGCCCAGCTCAGTGTGCACCGCTGGACCTCAACGGCCAGATAGAATGCCAGAAGATATGCCAGATAGAAAGCTATAAGATATGCCAGATAGAATGCCAGAAGATATGCCAGATAGAATGCCAGAAGATATGCCAGATAGAATGCCAGAAGGTATGCCAGATAGAATGCCAGATAAAATGTCAGATAGAATGCCAGAAGATATGCCAGATAAAGTGCCACAATGTTTGCCAGATAGAATGCCAGAAGATTTGCCAGATAGAATGCCAGATAGAATGCCAGATAGAATGCCGGAAGATATGCCAGAACATATGCCAGAAGATATGCCAGGTAGAATGCCAGAAGATATGCCAGATAGAATGCCAGAAGATATGCCAGATACAATGCCAGAAGGTATGCCAGATAGAATGCCAGATAAAATGTCAGATAGAATGCCAGAAGATTTGCCAGTAACAAAATGTATGAATGTCATGGTGGGGATCACACGAAGTAAAGTAATTTTATTTTTACATGACGAGGGGTGGGATTACGTGTTGATCATGTGATGATTTGGAGAGATAGACTTCAATACGTTGAACATGGCATGATACCAACCCACCGAGGAAAATCATGTCAAAAGTCCCAGTTGTTTCATCAAGACCTCATAAGACCTCCCTGTTTGGGCATGCCAACTCATGTCCTAAAATTTTGATTGCTTGAGTCCAACCGCACCAATCTCTTCTTAGACGCTAAAGGCCGGCCGGTTGTCACAGGTGCATTTCTGATGACACGACGCGTGACCATGAAGGGTCAGAAGATGGGTGCCTGGACGGCGATCTTCCGGGTGGTAGCCCGGGTGGATATGTAGCAGTGCCAAATGCCTCTCGGAGATACATCCAAACACTGGACTCCGTTGGCTATATTACATGTGTGATCATGTGTGCAGTTACATACATGCATACATACATATTATACATATATATATATATATACTGATAAACATATAAACATTTTTGGGCCCAATATTCAGAAAATTGAAAATTTTGATATGATTGATATTTGCTCATTGACTTCCATTGTTCGATGGGAAACCCCTAGTGCTTGAACCTCAATTTTTCAGCACTGGAACACCAGGCACCTGCATAGACTGGGATAGCCCGGAGCATTGCCCTTGTGGTGATCATGGGGCCTGCGGGGCGGACAACTACTGCGAAGTCAAGACGTGGTGTCCCAGTTTGGGCCACTAGCCTTGGGTGATACAAATCTGTCCGGCAGAGGCGGAAGGTCTTAAATGATGTTAAGATCATTTAAGACCTCAGTGGCTGATTCGTGGTGAATGTAAGGGGAAACATTGCAAACACATATCTCATAATGACCAGCCAAAGGAATGCTACAAACTGCCGGATGGTTCCCCGAAAGATGATAGGATCCAACACTAAAGCGGGGCTACTAAAGGTGGTCTTGAATGTCTCGTAACCTAGATGCATCCACTAAGTAGCACTAGCAATTTAGCAACCTTCAGAAGGTCATCAAAGTGATGACTGCTGTGAGTTGGCCTTGTACTCGCTAGTGATACTAGCTAGGGTGATTGCTCAATCCATGGGGTTGAATGGAGGCAACAGCATCAATGGTGATATGTTTGTTGTTCAGGTGGCGTGGCTTTAGTTTGTATCGTAGCTCTCACCAACTATATGTGCACAACATATGTGCACACATAGATAAAACAAAATACATGAATGAATAAATAAACAAATTCAAATGTATACATTGATTCGCATGTAGTGCTTTCATGATCTTTCCATATTTATATGAAATCATTGCATATGAATGATGGGATCCATGTAGAGCTTACATGGATCATTGAGGCGATGGCAACGTGGCGAATCCCGGGCCACCGCCCGGTGCCGTGGTGGAGGATATCCTGGGACTGGAGGATGCCGTGCTGATGATCGATGCCTGGCGGAATGGGAAGTCCCTGGGTCCCTGGGGGTCAAGTTCTACCACTATGACGGGGAGTTATAAGCTATATTAAGCTACATAATTACATGTCATTACTATCATTACTGTCATTACTATGTAATTAGGCATGATTTTTAGCGAAAGTTGGATAAGTTATACCTTGGGCTGGTGCATATACTTGTGCATAATATGTATATATATATATATATGTGTGTATGTATGTAATGTAATGTAATGTAATGTATTGTAGTGTAGTGTAGTGTAATGTAATGTAATGTATGTATGTATGTATGTATGTATGTATGTATGTATGTATGTATGTATGTATGTATGTATGTATGTATGTATGTATACTCTTGTATACTTACCGCACAGCCTCTTTATATGTAAGCGAGTATGATCCGTATCTTAGGTTTTTACTCCGATATAATTTACTGGTGAGCCAGGGGGGATGGTTCATTCATACATCACCCGTGGAAGCCTCCAGCAATCTCACTATGAACAATGTGCTGATGCTTCTGATTAAGGCTTTTGGTTCAACCTTTCCAGGGAAATCTTCCAGCCTTCAATGCTACCTGGTACCTTGTATGGGCATTGACACGCCTATCCTTTCACAACTTGGAATCTCCAACAACTTCAACGACTGAGAGGGACCCTTTTGTTGATGGAGTAGTTTTGTCAACTTGTTGGTGCCCCCAGCCTCCTTTGCTTTTGCAGCTTTCGTGCTTTCATTTTCATTGGGTCAAAAAATTGGGTTTACAACATCAGCCAAGAATGATTTTGATTCAAACCATAAGATATAAGGATATTGACCAGAATTTTGATCTCTTCCCTTCAATATTGAATGTGTTTATAGTATTGGGTTGATTCTTCAGCAGAAGATTGTTTTTTCCTCAATAATTCTACACCGAGTTCATGAGCAGCCCAATCCCAGGGGGCATCAGCTATACATCAGGTCGAAGTGAGCCAGTTTCAGCTCTTAATTTGGTAACCCTAAGGATGAAACCATATCCAATGACTTACCGTTGAAGGTTACGTAGGGCTTATTGTGAACATTTGTTACCACAGCATTTGCGCGGATTCCAAATCGCATGACTTTGGGGGATCCTCCCATTTTTCTGCGAAATATATATATATATATATACCAGGGGGATTCGAACATATGATAGCTCCAGTGTTTCCATAGATATAAACATGATATGGTATAGGGATGTGTAGGGTATCATGCGTCCACATCATATTATATATAGATATAATGTTAGTAAAACAATGGTAAACCACGCATATGTTCATGGTTTACACCACCTATTTATGGTGATTTGGGGGGGTGATTTATTATTGTTTTACCCACAGTAAAATGACATAAACATCTCCATGGAGGCTTCGAACATGTTTCCATCCCCGCTTCATATCCTGCCAGGTCGCTGGCATCGGTTTCCCCAGCATCGGCAAGAAGTTCCATGTGGCAGGCCGGCCATCGACGGAGTTGGCTGGGAAATGTTTGGTGGTATCAGTGTTATGCGTAAGATCTTTAAACAAATCTTATGTTTATAATAACCCCATTATATACACAACATCCATTAACTTTTTGGAATGATAAACCACTTTAGCAATTTTGCGGTCCCGACCTTGCGGATGTAGATGTCAGTTTTCCGAACAAAATGCGGGTTGATTCTATTTGTATGCTTGTTGGCTTACTACTGTATCTTGTGAATTCTAATGGGTGTCCGCTGTTGAACGATAGTCCACTTGGATGATTTGAATATGAGACAGAGTTACTCACCAACTGATGTTCCTTATTACTGGGATATAGATACAGGTGCTAATAAGTGATGATGATCCAATTCATTTCATTGCACCAACACTGAAAAACGGGAATAATACGATAACATATAATATGTGAACATCAAAACGCATCCAAAATCACAATGGATAGATGCGGTACTCAACCAAGGTTTCTTGGTGAGGTTGCACTGGATAAGAACCGCTTTCCAGCTACCAATCGTTTCTTCAGTTGGATCATACGTCAATGGCCCCGAAATTAACTGCATGAAACCCACCATAACCCACCATATCCTAACTCATGTGGAATGATCTTTGAACCCAAACATGGTTGGAGAGGTCAGAGACCTCAAGTTCTTCAAGATTCCCATATCATATTTTTTCCCATGAAATTACCATTTTCCCCAGTTATCCCGTGGAAAATTCCCAATGTCTTTGGTGGTTCCGTTGGAGAAAATGGCGTCCAGGCTCCAGCCCGGACAGCAGCACCTTGCACAAACACATCAGCGTGGCGCAGCTGTTGGAACTGGCGGATCCACCGCTAAAGCTCCAAGACGTGGCCAAAACCGGAGCCCTGGATCCAGATCCTGCCATGGGTCATGGATGGTCATGGTGACAATTTCACTTGTCCGTTTTTTTTTGGTTGGAAAAAAACATGGAAAAAAAACATGAATAAATATAAGTATTCTCATGACTTGACGCATTTTGAAGCATCTTTGTTTCCCCTTTTCTGGACAAATAAATGCAGTATCCCGAATTTGGGCAGTTGACGCATCATGTTTTGATGCAGTCTGGTCGTCAAATGGTGGTTACCGAGTGAACAAAACATGGCAAGGAACAAAATCAGACCATTTTTGCAGATGTTTTGCTGCCATGTTTGGTGACCAACATGGCTATTCTTATGGAGGAATTAGAAGGAACCCTGTCTGCTAAGCCAGCGATGTTTGATGTGCCCACTGGCAAAGCGACCAAAAACAATGAATCTAATGGAATCTAAGGTTTTTTGGGGAGGTTACGATCCCCTAAACTAACGCCCTGAGAATACCAAAAGGAAAGTTGTCTTCCAGTTTCTCGATGTTTCTGGTCTATCTTAGTGAGGGGAATCCAAGGATCCATCATCGCTGTGAATTTCTTCTGGAACTGCGATCTAAGTTGGATCTCTGATTGCGACGCCTGAGATGAATTGAGCGGGGATTCTGGGGAAGATTTGGTTGAGAATGACATTATGGGGAAATCATATACAACTCAGTGATATTTTGGGGAAATCATACATTCCGATTGACTTCGTGACGTGGATACGTTCTCTGGCGGTTTTGGAGAGGCTTGAAACGAGCCAGCCAAGTAGTGCTTCCTAGCCTGGACGGTGATTGGTTCATGTTTTCGTCATGTTTCCAGCACAGAAGTCCAAATCTGAGTTGTTGTTTTTTTGGTGGGAGGTTGGAGATGGTTCCAAATGGAATGGCGCCCAGTGACATTGCCAAGAAACATGTTTTTTTTGGATAGTCTCCTAGGTTTGAAACAGAAGGCCCCAAAGCATCAATCACGGCTATCAACTTGCACAACCCCGAGCCGTGAAAGCGTTCTTCCAACAGTGATAGAGCCTCTGAGACTGACACATAATGATTTTATAATTTATACCATCTGGTTATTAACGTAGCCACGGAAAATCCCTTATAGATGGAGGTTTCTAGCTGGGAAAATTCACTATAAATGGGCCATCTATACCATGGCTATGTTAAATAACTAGAGGGTAATTATACCATGAAAGATCAAAGTCACAGACCAACTTGTTCATTCCATGTTCTTGTGAGGTCACAAAAATCAGCCGTTTTTGTTTTCCCCCCGATTTTCCCCGCAATACTAAATGCCATACTTAATAGATCCAGTACAAGACCAGGGTATCGTTTCGATTCGTTCTGGTGGTACTACTTATAGCATTGGGGATATACGGGGCGAAGGGATTATCATGGATGATCATCCAAGTAAGAATCTCAATTAAACTAAACCCAATTAAATTGACCTTGCGGAAAAAACATATATAATTATCAATAATGATCTCTCACTATTACTAAAACACATTCTAAAGATATTAATTAATGGATAATCCACTACGGGATACTCAGTTAAAATATTAAAAATTAAGATTTATTAAATGGACAAATGGACTAAATAGTAGCTCAGCAGATCGATTTCAATTAGCGGAAATCTAGCACTTAGAATATGAAATAGCACTTAGAATATGAACAAATGCAAAAAACCGATGACGTCTTGGTTTTTGCAACATCGAACCTAATGAAAAACCATGGTTTTTGCAGGGTACTGCAAAGCTCTTTGCGATGTATCGATATAGTATTGTTTGGGAAAGTCATCAAATCAGCATCAGAGAGAAAACAATAACTTGGTCATGAAGAAAGCTGACCCCATAATCAGAATATTTGAATTTGTTGGGATGGAATGCACTTAGAATACCCCTATGATTCACTATGAGCAATGAAATCAATACTACTGCACAGGGAACCAAAAAAAGTAACTCATTCCCATTAATGTACTCAGGCACTAGTACAGCAGAGTACCATACAGCGCTAGGGAGGCCAAAAAGATCGATGAGGAAATCTCGGGTTTCGGAGTGGTTGTAGGCTATTGTATATATATGCAGTGAGATTGCTGTAAGTGTGGATTGCTGATACGTATTGCAAAATAATTGTGTTTTTGCTGATACGTATTGCACAATACTGGTTACTGTATCTTTTGTTAGGGAAATGTTATATTTTCATATTCTATGTGCA